TTGCGCATGTCCCAAGTCAGGAGCCTCTGGCATTTGTTAGTCTTGTAAGTTTTTTTAATTTTAGTTCATTTATATGTTTCGGAGTTTAGTGTGACATCCATTTTCACTGAACTAGTACACATTTTTGTTTAGGGGCCAGCTGAAGCCCGCCTCCGGGTGCGGGATTTTCTCGCTGTGTTGAAGACTCTTTGGTGGCCTTGGGCTGTTTTCTGCTCTTTGGTTGGGTTGTTGTCTCTTTGACACATTCCCCATTTCCATTCTCAATTTTATTTGAGTTTTGATTAATATTGAATACTTAAACATTCTTTACTTGCGTTTTTGTTATGTTTTGATAAACAATTTTTATGATATCGCACGTTCTTTAAACAGAAAAATTAATTTAACTAGCTTTAAAAGTTACAATATATATATTGGCTATTATCATTTTCGGACGTCAAAGCGATTAACCCATTGTGGTTATCCATTTTTTTCACTTAGCATCTTTTAAACTATTATCTTGTGTAAAATTTTATTTTAGAACGAATGCATGATCTACTTTCGATAGTTGTGCAATTACAAAACATATACAAAATATACTTTCGTATGGTCCTTTTCGTATTCGCAAGATATTGGACTGTAAAAAGCTATTTAGACCAAGCCTTATGAAATTTGCATTTACTTTACGAAATAGGTAAAATGTATAGTTTGGTGTATATAGGAAACTGGAACTTTTCTGCTAACTACCATACTTGTGAAAAACCCTTGGTAGCAGAATGATTATGCACCGACTATTCTTCTTTTTCTGAGTGTGTGTGTGTGTGTTTTTTTTTGGGGGGGGGGTTTCTCATACACATACATGAACATTACTTTTTTATAACAGTGTCGTATTTTTTTTCGTCCCTAATTTTGAATGTAAATCAATTAGTTTTTTCCCTCTTTTTTCTGAAACAAAGTATTTTTTGTCCTTTCCAATTTTTTTTTAGAATCAATTCATATTTTTAAAAAACGGTTTTCAACTTACACACACACAATAATTGACGACAGTTTATATATCAACTTCGTCCTTTTTAAGATCGCAAAGAAAATGTGCATAAACTATATATATCATATTTTTTCTATTAAGGTATTTTGTGAATTAACCCCATCGACTTAAAAGTTTTTACAATGAAAATCGAAATGTGTAAATGTATTTTTCGATTATCTTATAATATTAGCTCTGAATATTTATTATTCTCTCAAATGAACTGTTGTGTGTACTGATATAAAGAATATTTCAAACAAATTCCTTTAAAGTTTTTTATGTTTCGAAATGTGTAACAAGTGATTATTTATATCCACACTGGAAGGCCTCTGACAGACTGAGTGAGCGTAAAATCATCGTTATCGATAGACGATGACAAACAAGTTAAAGGTAAATGATTCAGTATTATTAACAACAAAAGCACTACGGTTGTCCACACTGTTACGGGAATACGTAAGTAATAGTTATACACCGAGGGATAGGTGTGTCTGGATAAGAAACCCCGTCGGCCGGAGGCCGGAGGGGTTTCTTATCCAGACACGCCGTATCCCGAGGTGTATAACTAACTTACACCCCATTCTAAACCCATTATTTGTTAACATTGATTATTAAATGAAAAAAAAACCGATAGCATATTTATTGACAATATCAAACCATGATTTATAAGAATTTTTTTTTTATTACATGAAACCCCACTTGTAACCTTTCTTAGGGTATCTTTGTTAAAAATTTGACAAGTGAGTATATTTTACAAATGTCAAAGTTGTTTTGCATATTCCCGTTAAATCCATGTGCTAAAATGGATCAGCGGGTCAAGGTTGACCGTTTCGTGTATTCTTATTACAAACAAAAAATACATCATGCTCCTTGTATGCAGTTGTCAATATGGACGGGTATAAGACGGACGACATTTTGTGGCAAGCGTTGGATTTGGTAGAAGAGACTTAAGATAAAGGCTATATTATAACCCAAAGTACTTACCTGTATCAGTGTAATAAAGGTAATCATAGCTGTATTTTATATCTTACGGTTTTATAACCACCCCCCCCCCCTCTTTTCAAAATAAACAAACATTCATATTCGGACATACTAAGGGATAGGTGTGACCCGACTATCAGACACGCTCAACATACAAAGATACAGATTTAATATTTAGGAACTCCCTTTTTGGGGGCAAACAGGGGCTGATCCAGCTTGGGGTTCCCAACTCAAGAGAAAAAAAAGGGGGGGGGGGTCCAACCATTCAAATGCATTGATCTTTTAAATAAAAGTCGGGTCCAAACCGCGGAACCCCCACCCCCAGATCGGCCAATGGGTAACCGGGGGAGGGGGGTCCCGGGAGTTAGAATCCCCATTTTTTTTAAAAAGACCAATGCTTTAGAATAGAGACATATGACTGGGATAAAAAAGATTACCTTCAAGCAAAGGAGTATTTAAAGGATTATTTTTGTATTCAAAATAAATGCTTAATTTTTTTTCGCAATTGGAATTTCCTAAAATGTGTTTTTTTAATATCTTGAAACAATTTGTAGTGAACACTATTAGTAGTTTCTTATGTTCATGCTATTTAAAAAAAATCAATTTCTATTGTTACGAATAACAATGGACTTTGTTTGCGGGATGTAGAAGCAGGGGTTTCCAGAAACCCCGCTCGTCACACCCTGTGGTCAAAATCCTTTGTTATTCGTAACAATAGATCTATTCAATTTACACTTGTTTCAGAAATAGAAACTATGAAGTATAACAATAGAACTGGGGTGTAACTCTTAATCAGACAATATGTATCATTTGAATCGTGCCATCATCATAGCACTTTCTGTTAGGAAGATGGTAGTACCTTGATGTACTGATATTTCACAATCCGCGATACCGACATCTTCTACACGAAGAATCCATCCACACTGACTATAACATTAAAGTGTCTTTAACATCAATGAAAACACGTTTTTTTTTTCTCGTTGAACGATTCTCCAAATGTCCTTGTATTTTCCCTGATTATCTTTTTAACTTAAAGGAATATTTCAACGATTACCAAAATTCCAGCCATAATTAAAATGTCCATTTGTTTAAAGTGTTTTGTTAAAACATGATCCATTGTTTAAACAAAACTTTTAATTAATTTAAAAGGACCGTCTTTGTTCTGCACATTGTTCTTTGGTTGATTGCGTTATGTGCCTTTAGGAAGAATTTCATGATTATATTAATTTGAAGAAATCTACTATTGTATCATCTCTTAGAATTCGTTATCGTTGCCACTTGGAATGCTTTTACTGAGTGAATTCGCATGGGGGATGTTGCGTGTATATCAGAAGACGCTTACCACGTCGACACATCCGGTCTCGCTCCTTTTGGATTTCATGCGATTCGCTCAGTTTTTGTTTATTACCTTGATTAGTCTCTTTCTGATCAAATTATGATAATTGAATATCTGTAAAGTACTGTCGCCTTTATTTACTTATTTACATACTAGTATGATTAAAAGATATTTTTGAGTAATATCAATGCTACAATATTCGACCAGCACAATAACAGAGATTGACATTAAGAGGTCAAGATCCGATCTTAAACTATCTTTTATTCATAACTGTACTTTCCATCAACTTCCTTAATGGATGTAAATACCAAGAGAAACTGGTTTTATAATCACTTAGAGGTGCCCGATTAGCTCTACTCATTTATTGGTAAACGTCTAGCGGCAAATATATTACAATTAACTAATTTGTTCTAGTCCGGGATATGCCCGGTTAGCCCTATCACGTGACCGGGTTAAATATGGCTGAAAAGTAAAACGAGTGGAACCGGCTGATTCAAAGATGGCGACAGAAGTTCAATCTTATACTTTTTGCTTTCTAAGCTCAGAAATATGAAAAAAATGAACCTGTTGATAAAAAATATATTTTTTTTACATGCAATATTTTTTTCAGAGGCCTTATTTATCATTAAAACGTTTTTCCGAGATAATTTTATAAATTTGAAATTAAAATATGGCGAACAATTTATTAACGTCATAGAGGACCATTACAGTATCACATTACGATATGAACTGATTAAAACATGTTACAATTTTCATCTTTTAATTCCGACATTTTACCTTAAATTGCGCTTTCCGCCATACTTTTTTGACCGGCTGATTGCTTGCCGGTGTGTTAAGACCGGCGAGGGCGGCGTCTGCCTATATGCGCCGGCGGCTGATTTCAAAGCAATTGAAGCGACTGTGCCTATACCGGAAGTACCAACCGGGCTAGCCCGGGTTAAGCCGCTGTGGCAAATGAAGTACTACCAATGCGTATTCGTAACCCGAATAATCCAGTCGTTATATTCCGATCACTCCATCAACTTCATTGGAGGCGGAGAGAATCGGAGACGATACGAGCTTGAATTGTTCGAGTTAGCGTATTCGGAACAATGACGTGTTAACGAGATAAGAATATATCCGGCCTGTACTAGACTGATAAGATAACATGCTAGCTCACAAATTTACAATATAGACATCACCATACTAAGACATATTTTATTATGACTCCTAGTCTAACTGTCTTTGCTGCAAATCCTTGGTGCCACGTGATTGGTAGAGACTCAGCAAATACCGTTTTTGGAATGAACCCGACGTGAATCAAACTCATGACACCTAGAACCCATTGCGAGCATGCTACCACGAGACGTTCAAGAGTGGGGTTTGCAAAAGGTACAACTCATTCGTTTAAAGAATATTCCCGGTTATGTCGGGTACAACCGAGTATGTATTTTTGTTGATATCAGTTGTATCTTTTATCATTTTGCGTAAATTATAAATCTTCTTTGTTTCAGTTAAATGATTTTCTCTGCAGATCAATATTAACAACACGTCATACCAATATCTAAATACAATTCCTCTATAATACTTGTGTGACTCACTGAATATTTATAACACATCATACTAACTCCTAAATGTTATTCCTCTAACTACTAGTAATTAGTTAGACATTGATTCTGTATGTACGATACATTAATGAAAAAAATATCTTTAAAAGAGTGTGTTTAATAGAATAAAAGTTACAAAAGGTATTCATGCATATCAAAATAAAACACAAGTAGAGCTCTTGCTAATTTTTGATTTCGTTTGCTTAGTGTTATTACTATTTGTATCTGTAATTTTGATTGGTTGCTTTTTGTCATTTGTTTTTGATTTGGTCATTGCAATTGGAAGGTCATTGAAACTGTCATTTGGTTCATGTAACGTTTTGATCCCTTTTCCAACCAATATATACGTGTTCATAGAGCCTTTTCCTTTCACTTCAATTACACCTCTGTCTCTTAGAATATAATCACTTTTGTCGTCGTTCATTAAAACTCTGCAAAAAAATGAAAAAGAAATACGTTCAAATATGATTTTGATTCCAAGTAACACAATTTAAACTTTTGACAATGAAACAACTATCCAACAGATACCACATGACCAAGATGTCGGTTCATAATAAAATAAACAATGTGAATCTATATATATCTAAATTTGTATTCATTTGAACGGAATATTATTAGTTACATAGTGTGCTAGTGACCTAATACGATATGTATGGGGTCAGTAAATTCCATATGGGGTGAGAGTGAAGCTCGAATCCCTATATGGAATTTACTGACCCCATATATATTGCTAGTGACCTAATACGATATATATGGGGTCAGTACATTCCATATGGGGTGAGAGCGACGCTCGAATCCCCATATGGAATTTAATGACCCCATGAAAATCGTATTAGGTCACTAGCACACTATGTAACGAATTTATCTTACCGACTATCTTAACATGTGGTATTTAGACTAGTGGCTTATCAAAGTGATCAAGTCTTCAATACCGTTAGTATTAAGAACCTTCTTCCATTGGTATATACAAAAACAAATGCCAACAATAACAACTTGTCAGCTTTAAATGTGTTTTATGAATTTAGTTCAATCGTTCATCATCAATTTCTTCGTCCGTTGAAACCGTGAAGATTTTTCCTCAACACCGTGTTATTTTTATATAGGGACGTAACACCACTACTAACCGTGTATTGGAATAAGCCCCGCCTACTAACCGAATATGGAACCCTATTAACCCAATATGGAATATAGACGGTCTCCACGCGGTTGCTTTTAACAAATCATTTTCCTAGAAATGTATATATAGGAGGTAAGATAATTGATATTATACGTTTATATTGCAATTAAATAGTTGAAGTCAGACAATTGTCCCATTTCACACATTTCAGATAGAAATATTACAAATACGTGTAAATAGTCAAATGTCTCGAATGTAGTTTACTTTTCCTCTGTTTTAGTACGTCGGTCATTGTAAATCTATTTTGTCAAACTTAGTTTTCCACATTTGTTTTATAATATTCGGCGAATTAAATCATAAGCCTGTTACGTATGTTTCCAATAGATATAGATGTATTGACCTGATTTTGTAAAATGGAAGTCATTTCGAGTATGAATTTATCTAAAAATAGTTTACCGATATTAAAATCGCATAAATCGAAAAAAATAATGCATATCAAGTTAACAAACAAAAACTCGAAAGAATCGCATTATCTCCAAAAGGACGAGAGATAGGTTCTGATTCACGGAACATTTCTAATGGAAATGAATATGCCTCTTGTATTAAAAACAAATCCAGTAACTTTTAAAAATTCATATTTTTTGCACATCATCTTTAAAGTACATTTACATAAGTACAATATCTATGTTGGGAATCGCATGATCAATTTTCGAACTTGATCTTTAAAGTGCATTTATATATGTACAATATCTATGTTGGGTATAAATGTACTTTTGATTTGCTTTATTTCATAAGGTTGATTTTTTCCTAATGTGTAAAACTATCATTTCCTTGGTTATTTTGATCATTGCGTAAAAAAATATTACTTGGCGGTACTTCCACTCATATGAATTCTTCCTGGTACCCCATGGCTTTCCATTCTAGATGCAGTGTTCACAGTGTCTCCAAACAAACAGTATCGAGGCATCTTCTTACCAACCACCCCAGCTACTACAGGACCACTGTGAATCCCTACTCTAATCTGCATAGAAAATATAATAAATATAATAAGTAAATATTAAAGAAAATATTAAAAGACAGAATAAAACATGAAAGACTAACAAATGGTCGCTTTAGTTAATTCATTTCATGTTCCTACTAAAAAGTGAAAGTTATGACATATATTGGTTAACCCATTGTACTGTTTCTATTCTTCATTTGTTGATAAATCAATCCTAAAAATTTGCGTTGTTTTGTTCCTGAAGTGAAAGTCGTACTTTTGATATTAGAAAAGAGAGACAGACGATTCTAAGGTACAACCAATACCATAACTTGAAGGAAAAAAAAAACAAACAATACATTATCCGGATTGTTTCTATAATGTTTCTTGGTAAGACTGATTAAACTCCTAAAATTAAACTTATGTATTCTTTTTATTATTCAATCGAAATTGGAACTAATACAACTGCTTCTACAGGTACGGATCCAGAAGTTTGTAAAAGGGGCCCCCTGGCAAGCCAACGTTTTGAGTGATACTTGTAAAAAGTCTATGTATTTATCATATACTAGTATGTAGCGCCATTAAATCTGCCTCTGTTCTAGTATCTACGTACACCAATTTGTTGATAGTTATAAAATAAGGATATGTGGCTTTTATATGAGTGCCAATGAGACATCTATCAACCAGAGTTTAAATGAAGTGGATATAAGCAATTATAGGTCACCGTAAGGCCTTCAACATACCCTATAGCCTGCTATAAAAGGCCTCGGCATAAAAAATATGAAACAAGAAATCTAACGGCCTAATTTATAACAAATATACATGTACATTATGAAAAAAACATATGACAGACATGAAGCAATGACGATCTCTGAATTACAGGCTCCTGACTTTGGACAGCCATGGACATAAAGAATGTGGCGGGTGAACACACGTTTGTGAGCACTCTACCCTCAAGCAGGACAGGCGTGTAACAGCACAACATAAGAACAAACTGTAAAAATCAGTTGCTAAAGGCTTGACTCAATAGATAGTTCCGATAAATATTTTCATTACCCAAAAACTTCTGAACAGGACGAGTTCATATTTTGTGAGCTGTTAGATAGTGATGAACTGTAATGTGTGAGCACTTTAAGTATCTGTCATATACCTGTTTGCTGATATTTCAGCATGTTGAATGAACACACATTTTTCATGACTTCTATATGTAATACCGCTGATCAGAATGACTCATATTTGGTAAGCGGCTTAACCATGATGAGTTGTGTTTGAAATTTCGGATGTGTCAAAATCTGTATATACTTCTTGTTTACGGATACATTGAATTGTGAAATGTCATATGCTTAGCAAAACAACTGATTTAGTCTTGTTTGTATACAGAATTCATCACTGTGTATCTATTGAACTTATGATGTGTAATATATTAAAAAGCTGGAAACTGAATTTAAAGTACAGAAAGTTTTATTAGAATATGATATAGATATCAACCAAAAACATCTTCTTTAACTTTTTGAAACATTTTGCAGGAACTTATAAAAAAAATATCCAAAACATTTTTATGGCGTTATTTGATGTTCATGATGTTTTTGGAACATTTTGAAAATATTTTGAGAAATATTTGTGGAATTTCAAAGATTAGCTAAATGTTTTATACGCCATCGACTTTCACATTATCGTGGTATATCTTAACAATATTTTAATTATGTTATGCAATATTTTCGGAAATATATTAGAAAACGTTTTTGCGATATTTTTCCACCACACACTTTTATATTTTTCAAACCTTTATGGCGATATTTTCATGACATAACATTTTAATAACGTTTTAAAAATATTTTTGTGTTTAGACTATTTTGCTTTTTTAATGTTTTATCATAATGTACACCTTACAATCATTCCATACACTACATATAGTAGACTTATTGCTTATAGTATCTGAGATATGGACTTGACCACGAAAACAACCTTGTTCACTGATCCATGAAATGAGGTCGAGATCACGTGAAAATTGTCTGACAGGCATGAGGATCTTGTAAGGTACGCACATACCAAATATAGTTATCCTACTACTCATAATAAGAGAGAAATTAAGAATACTAAAAATCTTAACTTTTTTTTAAGTAGTCACTGAACCATGAAAATGAGGTCAAGGACAATGGACATATGACAGACGGAAACTTCATAACATAAGGCATCTATATACAAAGAATGAAGGATTCAGGACTTCTACCTTCTGAAATATTAAGCTTTTAATAAGTTTGTTAACGCCGCCGCCGCCAGATCACTATCCCTATGTCTCGCTTTCTGCGACAGAAGTCGCAGGCTCGACAAAAAGTAGAACAACACAAATAAGATAATGTTGAGATAAGTTTAAAAATTGATGTTGGTTTAAAACTTTCGAAGTGAACTCACTTACTTGAGCTATTTTTTTAGTTAGTTATTGACTCGTTTATAAGTGAATATGTCTTGGCAGTCCACTCTCACCTCAGAATACAAACATTTAGACAACCACGGAATACATCAAGATATTTCTTAGATACTTTACAGAAAATCATAAATGAGCGGAGGAAATATGTAAGATTTACTGCATAGCGATAACGAGAAACAAACTTGCCGAAACAGAAGGTGAAGTAGTACACATAAGAAAAGTTACCTCAAGAAAAATACGTCATAACTGTTGAAATATAAGAGTAAACACTTCAAGTACAAAGAAAATGTTTATGATCTTCACACAGCACAAGAAAAAAAATCAGTTAATATCATACAAAGAAAGGATATGATATATAATGTTATGACATAAAATCCCTATACACGCACTTGCATATCGCTAGTATTGTAGTTCTTCATCTAAAAGGTCACAGTGGGGCCTTTAACTTTAACACGGTACAAAAATTCACACCTAACAGCAAGTAAAGATCGGATCCTAACACCAGTTTGAAAGGACTTCTTTGGTAGATGTCGATCAAGCTACATGTGATGCCTAGTTAAGTCTCATATGTCACATACAAGCTCTATACAGAGATTTTGAATTTGTCAGTTATAAAACTACGGTTATATCAAAGATATTTCAATAAAATCCTTTAGAAACAATTAATATTTTGATCGAACTATGATTCAAAGATGATAGTTCAACCGATCAGTTTCATCCTTAAACATTTTCAACATTTTTAAAATATCATGAACGTATACTATTCATCAGTTTAAAGCAACATAGTCAGATTGATTTTTGTTAAAATTAAAGCCGACAATTAGAAACTCGTTATAAAAGATGTCAAATGATAATTCAACACCAAGACACGAAACTCTTCAACTCTGCAAAATTGGTATCACTGATTCTGGAATCCTTATGAAATAAAATTGAATATTTTTTAACAATTTTCCTTTACGCGTAATTTGTTAAACGACAAAATATATTTCCGTAGCGTGCTGTGTCACTCAGTACAGAACTATTAAACATAATATTTTAGATTGACATCTTACCAGTTACTATCTTGTCGTCATTAGTATATGTATTCATATCTAAGCACCTGTTATTATCTCACAAAATTTAAATTTGAATAATCTCCCTTTGCAAATTTTTTAAACGTAACTTTACAAATTTTCAGATAACTATTTTACAATATAATGATACGTTATACCTGAAATATATGTTAACATTGATTAGAAGACAACATGTTCGTTTGGAGGTTATTAAGACAAGACTTATTTTTTTTTATAAATCTAATAAACTGTCATACTGAAGTCAACTCACAGCTCAAAGATATATGTCAAATGCACCCTATAAATGTATTGAATTCATACTTTAAATAGTACCAAAAAATCAAGTAGAAGCAAATTGCTCTTCAAAATGGTGTTGTAAACTAATATAAATGTTGCAAAAAGCGGCATAACTCAATAAACATTTTCTGAAAATATCATTGAGGCCGCATACGAGAATTGATGGAAAAATAAAACATAATGAAAGAATCAAATTAAATTAAAAATATCCTGTTAAAATTTTAACATTCAAAGAAAGAAACGCATTGAAGATATTGCCAGTTTAATCATTTCTTACTATTATTTTCAGTTTTTCTGTTTTGATATTTTCAACATAATATCATTATATTTTTTTACAGTTTCTAATTACTTAGTAACACATATTTTTGGGGCGCATTACATTTGCATTTGCGGATTAAAAATTTTCACGTTTGCGTGCAGCTTTTTATTACATTTGCGCGCGTTCATTTTACAGGTAATACAGGTCTATATAAAGATAATTTATGATAAATATGTCAATAGTTTATTTACGATAGACTTACATTTGTTTGTACATGTATAAATCCATTGTTAATGTTCATTTTGAACATATTTATCATTTTAAATTATATCTTTTTCATATTGAATCGTTAAAAGAAATATATTTAGTAATCGCTTAAGGCATTCCGGTAATATTGCATTCTGTTTCTGTATCAGAGGGCTTGATACACGAGCAGTAACTGTTGTAAGTAGAAGTGAGGAAGAGAAAACAGATTATCTGATGGAACAATTCCGAAAATACCAGAATGGAGAAGAGGACATGTTTCACTTTCTTAAAGAGATGGGCCTCAAATATACTTCGCGCAAATATAATGGTAGTGGGGGCAAATGCAATTGCACAGCATACAACGAATCTAAAAGCAATTTATGACTTCTAATTAAATTTGTTGTCACGATGGACAGAGGAAGTTCAGGAGTTGCAACATTCGTTTGAGTAGAAATTCATTATTCATAAACGGAAATTTAAAACTGGAAAATAACATCAATCTCGCCACTACCGCAGTGGTTGCTACTTGCCGGATTGTAGTAATCTTGCGGACGGGTAGTCCATGAGGCAACGATCTTTCATCTTTATTTGCGCGAAGGGAGTTAATTATTTTTCTGGACAAACATTTTTTTCGGTTTAAATCATAATATAAAGTCATCAATAGCATACAAGAACAAGTATCTGTTTATTAAAACAAATGTTGTACTTATTTTCCTTCAAATTAATTCTCAATAGCAACAAACTATTTTTTTCACTACTT